TACATGTTTACTTATTTTAGAATTTTACAATTGCAAAAGAACACTTTTCTTAAAAATATTTGCATTTAATATTAATGACAAAACCTCTTACATTTTAATGCCCAATAAAGGTCGATGGATCTTCATAACATTGCAATGCACTATATGAACTATTTTACACCAAGACTTAATATTTTACAAATGTATCCAAAATGTGATCTTAATATTTAGTTTTTGAGTGAATATTCTCAAATTTTCATTTTACTCATAGCCAAAGAATAAGAACTGTTGTAACAAGGGGGCGGATTTTAATGAAATGTCAATTTTTTCGCTTTAGAACAATGCAATTTAATATAGACATTAATTTAAAATTTTGACAAAAGCAAATGATCCATTTTTATACTGCACTTTCTTGCACTATTATTCAATTTAATATAATGACCAATATCATTTTCCCCTTTTCCCGTCATTTTTAAAGCATTGGTTTCATTGATTTTAATATAATTTTAATGGCACTTGCTTCAAACAATATTTAGATGCAACAAAATGTTCTTCACAGAATACTTGAGTAGCCTAGTGAATTCCTTTGCTCAGCAATTGTAATGTCGGCCGTTTAAGTATGTTATATAAAGTTTTTGTTACGCCTATCACCGCTATTGTCGGGTCAGCCGATTACGAGATAACTAGAGAAAGAGATTTCCTGATAAAGAAAAGTCCAAACCAAACGTTTACTAGCTGACTTCACTTGAACGAAAGAAATACGCCTCAATTACTCAGTAACAAATGCAATAGTTTGAGTTGTTCATCTGAACTGGTTTCGATCATTTTTTTACATTTTTCTTTGTTTTAATTTTAAAATAAGCAATTTATTTTAATTAATAACATTTGAAAACAGTTCTATGAAGCTAGTTGGTATTTTCCTTGATATAGTCATAAGTAGGAGGCGGATTTTGATAGCCTAAAACATTGCCAAAAATGATCAATAAAATGGTCTTAAAATTCTTTAAAATGCCCTAAAAACAAAGAAAAATAACGTTAAAAATGATCAAAAACACTTCAGATGAACAACTCAAACAGGTGGATATGTTACTGATGTAATCGAGGTTTCTTCCTTTTGTACAAGTGACCTCAGCTTGTAAACTTTGGGTTTGGACTGTTCTTTAAAAGAAAATCGTTGCCTTCATTTATCGCGAAATTGGCCGAACTGATAATGGCCCCCATGAACGTCACAGGAACCTTAGATTACATCGTAGTCACAACGGCTGACATTACAATATACGAGCGAAGAAATCGCTTAGACTACTCAGAATTCTGAGGTGAACATTTGTTGCACCTCGTAAATATTGTTTGAAGCCAGTACCATTAAAATTATATTAAAATCGATGAAATAAGGGGGAAATGCAGTAAAAATAACTTATTAGTAGAAATCGACGAAAAGTGCTGTAAATGGCGTATAATAATGGCTTTCTTTTCGTCATATCATAAAATTAATTTCTATACTAAACGACATTATTTGAAGGTGAAAAGAAAGAAAAATGATTTTTTTAAATCCGACCTCTAGCCATAAGCCACATAGCCAATGTCCATCGTATTATTAGTTTAATTACACTTACCTCTTCAGATTCTGAATCAGAAACACTTGTTTCCATGAACAAGTTATTCGTCATTGTTATTTCGATGACGTTCGTCGATGTTACCTCCATCTTCTCCAGCCCCAAAACCCTTTAAATCTTCATTTCCTTCGAACAAGATCGGTAGCTTCCTTTTCGCAGCTTATGTCTGTGTATCGAACACACTTCTAACCTTCACAATGACGCAGAGGGGAACATTGGTTTATAACTTCATTGGCCACTGAATATCAGTTAACATCAAGAATGGTTGCGTAAGCTTCCGTGGCCGGAGTTTATGTTGTCTAGGCTATCCGGGCCACCATGACATTGACGCGGCTCGTCTTGGATAGCCTAGACAACATAACATCAAGAACTACGATACATTAGCTGAAAAGCTACTCTACCAATAAGAAAAATGAAAACCGCCGAAAGTGTGATTTATGACTATCTCTGACGCAACACTTCATTTGTTGCAACTCTTTGTTATACTTCGAGAAAAAGTGGGGGAAAAAACGTTCTATGGCATTTGCTGTGCCTTCGGTTTAGCGAGAACCTTCAACCATACGAATACAGATGGCTTATTTCAAATTTTAATCAGCCTATAAAGGCAGGACTGTGGATGAAGGAAAGAGAAACACTACAGTATCCGAATATTCCACCTGTTATTTGACCTATTCCACATTCAGATAGTTTACCAGTTTCCGCACCACCATACAATTATGAGTTTTGAGTTGAAAATAAAGAGTGTGGAAGAAGAAAATCCCACCAACACTTCCACATTCCATGACCCTCAATTTCAGGAAAATATCACAAATCGCACCGACTAACTCAAGTGGAATTGAGTGATCTCCTTCCAGATCTCAACTTGTCAAAGGAGAAAGAACTTCTCGGATCAAGGCTACAACAATGGAATCTTCTCCAAAGTAATGTCAGGATCTCACAGTACAGACAGCGTCAGAGGGATCTGCTTCCTTTTTTGAGAAGAAAAATAATCTTGTTTATTGTTGCGGCGTTAATGGCTTGATAAAATATTTGAAGTTGAACAGTGATTCAATTTAATGGAGGTTATTCATACTCTTTCAAGCTACATTACTTCACAACGATAACCGTCTTCTTAAATATTGTCTTTTTATGTATACGGGACAGAAAAAACAAAGTCACTTTATATTCAAGCAGCTGGCTTGCGAGGAAGCTTAACTCTAGCGAAAAAAATGTCGTTGCCGAGCCTCCTCTCGTAGACCCAAAAAAAGTTCTTCCGCCCCTAAACATAAAGCTGGGTTTGATGAAAAATTTTATCCAAGATATAAACAAAGAAGAACCAACGAAGTACTTGAGAGAAAAAAATATTAAGTGATTCAAAGATAAGGAAAGATTTTTTTGTTATTTAAGATAGCATCAACTTCTAGGTCATTAGCGACCACTATTGCTTATAACGGTATGGTAACTATGAGGATGACACGATATGAAGATAGGGGGGGGGGTGAAAGGACGAACACAATACAACCATGCCCGAGGCGGGACTCGAACCCGCGATCCTTCGGTTCGAGATCGCTATGGCTCTACTGCCCTAGCGATCTCGGACATCCGAACCGGCGAAGTATTTTTGCTGGACCACAAATTCAACCACTAGTAAAGTATTCTGCTTTTAACAGTTTTGGAGAGGAAAGAAAAGTTAGCTTGGGAAGCATTCAAGGGATTTATTCACGTATTTTTAGGCAACAAAAGAGTAGATAACTGCACTCAGTTGGTGGCAGTACTTCTGCAAAAAAAGTACCGCGAACTGGAATGTAACATGTCCCTTAAAATCAATTTTCTTATTTATTCATTTAATGTTAAAAACTGTGATGTGCTTTGGGGAGAAGTATCTTCTGTGCACGTTTTCTTAACTCTGGGATCCCTATCCTAAGACATATGGAAGTTAAATTCTGAATATAGAAGGAAAATTACAGTGTTTTGGGGGTGGGGCAATAATTGATGAGAAAACATTTGCTCCAGTGGAACTGAATTCTTCACTCCCTCTTAGACTTTCCCCTCCTAGTTGTGGAGCACTCGGTGATGAAAACTGAGAAATATTACAATCAGGACACTTCTTTAATGGAACAAAACAATGTGTGCGGATTACCACTAGACTGTATGTAGGGATGCATTGGAACCCACAAGAGGAAAGCCAAAACATGGTAATATCATGAAGCCACCACAATCAAGTATTTTTCCTTAAATTTTTTTACGAGGGAAGGTGGAACTCTTCAAACTACACCATGTGGCCTGTACCACATGGAAGTGTGAGATTTTAACTCACTTAAACCACCTCCCTAGGCTTCTTCACCTCCCACCCCGTAAATTATAACTAATAACAGTACTTGATCTTCCTACCTTCCATTTCAAAAACAAAATAATATTAAACAGTTCTCACTTCCCTTTTGAATCCCTCCGCAAGCTTGAACGATGCCACCTCAGGCATGTTGGATCCCATTAAGTCCAATGCTTTTGTCAATCAATTCCCACAAATTTGTATAACAAAACATTCTCTACGATATGACACTCGCACTGCTCTACCACACTACATTATCTTATTATTCAACCATTGGTCACGCTGTTCTGACTGCTATCATGCTTTGACACATGGTTTACACCACCATCGCTCGCGCCAAGCTTGCGGCAATTTGTAATTCACTTATCTTTCCCATTGAGCAGTAGCACTTAAAGCAAGTTTCTTCCTAATGAATTCTGCGCATTTCCTCAATTGTGTAATGTCTATTCTTTTCCTGATTGATAGGTAAGTGAAGGGGGGTAGCCAATTCTTTAATTTCCAGTTTCTTTATAATTCATTAAATGTAACTATTGTTCATGGAAATTTCTCATGTGTCCATAGCCAAACTGCAAACTAAAACTAACACTATACTTTATTGTATTATTACCTTTCCTTCTCCTCATTCTCTCATTATTTAGATATTCATTGCGCAGCTAATGTTTACCTCCATCGTTGCTGTCTGTAACAATAGATGTCTTCGTAGAACAGCTAGTCTAGATTCACCCATTTACAAATTATAAATCTTTGAATATGATATAAAAAATAAATGATAATTGAGCTATATTGTCAGGTCAATAAATCTTTCTAACAGATAATTCAGATATTGGTACAAATACACAATCAAATACGTTAGTAGAAAAATACTAGCCAAGAAAACTAGAAATTCGCACACAAATTATTTCAGAAAAAATAATATATTCCTTGGTGCACTTGTGCACCACTGACCGTTTTGATTCCCCAAATAAATTGTTTTCTTTTTTCAAGCAAATGCAATAATATTATTTTGAAATGTTAATTTGTGGTACACTTCCCTTTTTCACTGTGTTTGTTTGTAAGTTCATAAACCTTTTTTAAACAAATAAAATTAAACAATTCAAATTCCATTAACTTGCCATTTATTAATATGCAAAATAGGTTGCACTGGTAAGGCCCCAAGTGGAATTGATTCACAAAAGAAAAGTTTCCCATCATCATGTGCGTGTCTGGGTGACACCGTGTTGAAGGCTTCCTGAGGAAGACCACAACACGATGGTCAAAACGTCGGCAACAGAGCCATTGACGCGGCATCACCCGGACAGAGAAGATCACGCACTTGACTCTGGTCGCGGAAGCCTACAACTTCACTTCTCAATATCATGTTTGCAGAATTTATCGAATTCAAAGTATGGAATTTTTAAACGGAATATTGCTTATTTGTTTATTTATTTTTAATATTGCAATTACACAGACCTTTGATTAAAAACTTTCAAAAATTGCACCTCCTCTTCACATATTCACATAATTTTATGTGCTGAAATTAAAATTAGAAGTTAATTGCTTCATCACCAACAGCTATTTACAAATAAAATCTAATTATTGTATACAGAAGAGGAAGAGAATTTACAATATTTGTACAACAGAGCTAAAAGTGTATTAATTTAAAAGCAAAGTATAGTTTATTGATGAATATCTATTTCTCAAGAAATAGATATGACAGAGACAGAGAGGAGTTTATTATGCATCAGCATCTTATGTGTCATGAACATAAATTGATAACATCTGATAATACCTCCTACAGAAATTTAATATTTAATACAAAATGAACACATTTAATCAATACCTAGAAGAGGGTCAGATGGTAGTTATTTTATAGGGGTAACATGCCTTATATCTTAAAAAAAGTTAGAAAATCTTTAGGTGCTCCTTACAAGAATGCAATAAACTGATCAAAGGTGAATGGTTTGTGGATATCTCAAAGTGTTATTTTTTTCACCATAGATTCGGTATACAAAAGATACATTTTGTGGTTGAAAAAGATAACACTGCAAGAACTTAACACTGTGAATGTAAACAATGACATCCAAAATTTTACTGGAACTTGGGAGCAGCAATATTTGGAAAACAAAAGAGTTTCTAGAGGTGTGTGGAATGTTAACATGATTGGAGACATCTATGGAATCTCCAATCATATTAAACCCTCTTTAAACCCTCTCCATCACCTTCTGACCTCCCACATTTGTTTATAACATAGCAAGCGGCACATACAGCTTCACTACTAATGCTCACTAGAAGGCAGTATTAGTTCAGTAATGCATATATACAATATTTGCCTCAAAACAAATAATATTAAATAACCTTTTCTTATTAAACACAGTAACACAAGTTTCACTAACTAATAATACCAAACAAATTGGGAAACTTGATACACAAAGAACATCAGCCTAGCTTTGATTTCAAAGCAAAACATTATACATTAGTATACATTGATAAACAAAAACATTTATATAATCCTTAATTTTGTAGCCCTACAAGAGGTTGAAGATGAATGTTTGTAGTTCAGTCTCTAACATACCTGAATGTTTTAATTCACTGTATCTACTCTACTTCTAATCTCATGCTGTCTCACTTCTAAATAATACATTGCAGTCAACAAGTAATGTTTTCATAATAGATAATTTGTGTAACATGAATTATTAATGTTGTATATATTAAAACTGTAATTTTTAATTGCCCCAAAATAAAGCCTAAGTTTAGCATAAGCCCCCTTCATATTCATCTTCTGGTATTTTCTCTACAGTTGATGAGCCTGTATTACTGTCTTTAGGATGGTCACCTGCGGCCTAAAATGAGAAGAAAAATATGCAGAATTTGTATATAATGTCTCTAAATATTTCAATTTTATAAGATTCAATTGAAAACTCAAATTAACTTACTTCCATATCAGCATTATCAGTTGATGCAATTTTTGCTTTCATTTCAGGAGCTCTATTAACACTTGTCTCACTTTCCTGCAAACGAAGATCACGAGCTAATCGAGCATACTCGACGTCCATATGTTTAATAAAAGGACTGTTGAGAGCTACACGTACGGCATCAAAATCTTCTTCATCATAAGCTATTAACAGTGATTCCAAAGTCTGAATCTGTAACATTGTAATGAAGTATAAAATTCATCATGTTAATTGAATAATAAGTCTACTAATGCATAGATAATATTGGTAAAATCTTTTTTCTTAAATCTGTACCCTACCCTCAGCAATCATCCCCTTAATATGAATAATCCCCCTAACAAACATCCCCCTTATAAAAAGTTTCCATTTCAACACTCCTTTTCTGAGTTAAATCAGAGAAACCACACTTCAAATTAGGTGACACGATTAACATTTTAATATATTTCTAAAGACTAAAATCAAAATACACTTTGATGAACTTTAACATTCAATCACACATTCAACACAATATCACATACAATATATTATTAACAAAATAAAAATAAAAAACCCACAGAGACTTCAATACATTTTTAATATAATATTGAATTCGTAAACATGTATGTGTAAGTGCATGTGTTATTCATTGAAAGCGGAAGCAGAAGTCGATGAAGAAGAAGAAGAAGAAGAAGAAGAGGAAAAGAAGAAGAAGAAGAAGAAGAGGAAAAAAAGAAAAAAAGAAGAAGAAAAGAAGAAGAGAAGAAGAAGAAAAGAAGAAGAAGAAAAGAAGAAGAAGAAAAGAAGAAAAAGAAGAAAAGAAGAAGCAGAAGAAGAAGAAAAGGGCATCCTTTGGCTATGTGGGAAGGTCTATGTTTTTGTTAGATACCAGAATTCCAGAAAAATACAAAAAAGAATGAAACAGTTTTGATTTTGATAGAAAGGAAACTCCACCCTATGCAATACTGTATTATCAGTATTCAAAAAATGATTTTCAAAAAATGTTTAATTTATTGCAGAGCTATATGATTTTTTTTATTTGTTGCCGTTGGGCAATATGCATACTTCTTTTTCGAAAACAGTTTTGTGTAATTCTGTTCAGCAGTATTTTTATTGCTGCAGATCACCAGACTGTATTTCTAATTTCCAATGCAAGAAGTCGTTGAAAGAAAGCTATAAAGACTTGTAAATATTTCATTATATTATTACGCTTAATCTCATACTTCACGTTCCGACTGAATTCTCATTCTCAGTGCATTACTGCATACGACAGGTGAGGTCATGCAGCAGTTTGGTTCCAAGGCTGCTCGCCATTAAATGAATACTATTTTTGTGTTGCGTAATGAAACCGAAACTAGGTGTATCGAGAACTAGTGTACTGTCTCTCCATATAGTCTATAGTGTTATTATAGTATTTGTTAAGTCTGTTTTTATTTTAACAAATAGTTTATTGCAGTTTTATTCGAGAGTATTTTGTTTTTCTTGAGCAGTATGCGAACTACTTTTTGGAAAACCATACCCCCGCCCCCCCCCAAAAAATAGTTTTATAAATTCTCGACGTCTTGTGCTGTTTAATGTCAATGAAGCTCCTTAGCTGGGGTTTGAAATGCAGAAGAAATCTGAAAAAAGGAAAGGATGCTTTTCAGAATGCATTACTGAGCGGCGCGCGCGGGAGACTAGCGGGCGCACTGACACAAAAATGTAATTGTCTCAACCCAAAATTTTTGCAATGTTCTCAAATACGTAGATATCGCCAAAACTGGGGCTCGCGCCACATTTTACTTCTTCGCCCTTACGAAGGTACTTCTAAGGAGAGAAAGTTGTGTAATCGTTCGTTGGAAAACGGCAAATATTGGGCAGAAAAACTCATCATCTGGTAACGAAAAAGTTGATAATTCCAGTTGCTAAATATAGAAAAAAATCCTCTAGCCCATCTTTTATGGGACCTTGATACCGAAAAATCGATTAACGGAAAACGTGTGTCCGTCTGTTGTGAACACTAGCGCCTAAACCGTTCAGCTGATTTTCCCCAAAACTGATATTCCCTCGAATGATTTGAACGAACTCTGCGATTTGGGAGTTTCAAACAGATATTTTGATTTTGAGATTTTTTTACATGAAGCGAGCATTTACGTTTCTATGCGTCTCCCCGAGTTTGACACGTACGGTGATTTTGTGGCATAGTGGTATGGGAGAGGGTAAGTTTAACTCTGAGGATCGGAGTTCGAGTCACGGAGCGTAAAAAAAGGATGCTAGTTGAAAACGCTGCATGATTATAAAGTAATATAATATAGCGGAGCCTGGCGGCTTAGCTCATTGGTCAGCGTGCTGGCTTTCCATGACGCGATCCCCAGTTCGATTCTCAGTCAGGCAAGATTATAGTGTGCGTTTTCCTTGCAATGTCCCAATATGATGCTGTGTAACGAACGAATTGACTTATCAGGTTGAGAATGGCCAGAATACGTGGTAGGGACGTCTTCGTGCCAACCACAACCTTAACCCATGGCCACGAGGCGGGGACGCCGATGGTAGGCTACACGGGCCGAAGTGTGAAGTACAAACAAATGATATAGCGGAGCAGTTTGAAATGATGAGAGGAAGTATGTGATTTTGAGCTCAGCAGGTTTTTTTTATTTCATTTTTTACTAAAGCTTTTATTCAGCCGATGGCCAGCAATTAGTTTATTGTGTTGAATGACTGGCATGTCTTGTAGAATTGAAACAGGAGGCGTTGTAAATCATCTTTGCTTTCGGCAATTGAGACTGTATCGTCTGCATAACAGATTGAGTTTGTTAGAAGAGCCGAAGTAATATCCTTTTTTGTTCGAAAGATTGTTTAGGATGTGTTTCATTACCAGATTGAAGAGTATTGGGCTGAGGGAGTCTCCTTGTCTTATTCCTTGACCTGTTGTTACGGCTTGGGATATTTGTTCGTTATCTATTACATAGTGAACTATGGAAAATGTTCCCCGAGCAGCCCAACTATATTTATGTATATTCTTGTCCCCGAAGAAAGAGTTAGTGATATGTAGTTTGTTGAATACTGCAAATTGTTTCAGTTTATTTCCGTTTCTATTACACACTGTTTTCTGTTGACCCCCTTTTCTTCAACAATCGGTACATTACCAATTCTTCCATTAAAATCTCCAGCTAGAACTAAGTAATCATTTTTATTCACAGTGTCAAGAACCTGTTGCCGATTGTTATAGATTCTCCTACTTCATTTCCAATTTTCCCTCTTCCGGTCTCTTCCATCTCCCAATTATTGCAAGATATCTCGTACGTACTTCTCAATTCGTAATCTTACTTCTATTATGTGTTTACTAACGAGTTTATACGAGCTTATTCTAGATTTTTAGTTGTGACTGATAACAATGGCAATTCCTTCTGTTTTATGCTACTATAATATTCTTAAAGTCATGTTTCAGTTCTACCATTAGAGAGCAAGAACATTGACAAAATGTGAAAAATGACCGCAGGGAAGAGAATAAGGCATAATCGGAAAGCTAGACCAGACTACAGAGGTTAGAAAACTAACTAGAGCAAAAAAGACTATGCCATTCTGTAGCACCGCTAGTTTATTTACAACAGACTTTGTCTGAGGCAAAAATCTCTCCATCTTCAATTTTGGAGTTTTGATATGTTAACTCTTAGCAATATTCGAAAAATCGCACAGATAGCAGAAAATGGGACCAAACCACATTTTATCGTCCCATATTATACATGGAAAGAAAATTTAAAGAAAAATTTCGAGTGGTTTTTGAGAACTTTTTAAAACAATGTTTTAATCCCAAAAGGGGCTTGGGATACGCCACAAATTGAAAAAAACCAACCCCACAGTGAATAAAAAATCAGGCACATCAGCGCGGCTCAAATGTGGATCGTTAACAGTGACAGCACGTGGGGCAATTTTAGCAGATTTCAGTTAAGTAGTTAAATATTTCGAAGCCCGTCTCCCGTCAGATGCCAGCTGCAAAGCCTTCCCGGTCACCTCCGACAGATTCTGCACCGACGACTAAACGACACTCTACACCGTTACAGACGCTCGTCACTGCTCCTGTCAAACAACACAACGTGGTAGATATAGGAGCTCTTGCTTTAACAGTTCACTCACAACAGTTTCATGGGATTGGTTCTTGCTGCTACCAATCTTCAGTTCAAACTTCTCACAAATTCTCAGGAAAAGTAGCCAGTGATTAATTGCACACGTAATTTAAAGCGAATTAGTGCGCATCTTACAGTGTTTCTGTAATCACCATCGCTGCTACCTACTTCTACCTCTCCTATTAGGGTTTCTCTTCTTCTCCATGATGTTAACACAACGCAACCTTGCCGTTTACATGTTTTCTCGAGAATGTGTCTTCGACACACCGCGTCTCCCCTTCGCTCCCCCTCCTCTGACTTCCCAAAAAATGGCATTCCTTACATCCACCTCACAGCGTCCCAGGACTGCGGGCAGCCTGCAAACGCTGCAGACGCGGTCGGGGGGGGGGTCTCTTGCCCGGGACGCCATGCCATGTAACGACCACCTACGCAGGACTCGAACTAACAGCCTATTCGGCAAAGGGCGACGGCTGCCGCAACCTACGACTGTGCCAAGGGGTCGGTTTATTATTATTATTATTATTATTATTATTATTATTATTATTATTATTATTATTATTATTATTATTACTATATTATTATTATTATTATTATTATTATTATTATTATCATAATTATTAAATACTATAAGTATTAAATGGTGCCATCGTTGATATAGAACGAATATCATACATAACAACCAAAGTATTAGAAGAAGGTGAATATCCACATTATTTTATTCTGCAGTCAATATTTACCTAATTATAATTAATTAACAACACTGACAAGACTACGATTCGATACGCACACAAACAAATCAATCTTATGATAATAACGCACTTACCTCGGGAGCATCACAATAGTTTCCCCACTCTTTAAAATCTTTTTCCGCTGCCACGTAATCACCACGACCTAATTGCACCAGCACTAAGCATACAGCGAGGCGTCCAATAGCTTGAACTTGCTCAGATTGTTGATGAAAGCCGATTTCACGCCTCAATGCATCCGCAGCTTCATCAAACCTTAAAAAAGGAAAAAATTAACAATGCATCTTAACCTCCAGTATAATTTAATATACTTTAGACAGCACCCTGTGATACGCGAATTAGCCGGATGATGTCCGAAATGATGCGTTATCGTCTATCATACAGCTCTATCCGAAATGATGCGTTATCGTCTATCATACAGCTCTATCCAAAGCTAACCGTAAAATAATTTAACAAATTACCGAAAATATTCTACATCTCATGTAAACTCTGAAAGTAATTTCTGCAAGTGAAAGTATTGCTCTGAAAGTGAAGGTCAAAATTGGAGATATTGTCTTTCGTAGATGAAAATTCGTAATGTTTATTCATTTTGTCAAAATCAAAAAACGCCTGGTTTTAAATACTAGGTTTCGCCGTGACGTCACGCCATCCCTTTAAATAGCGAAGCAGCTGACTGATCTTTCTTCTTTCTGTACGATACGCCGAGATATGAAGACCAGTGAGGTTTAACAATATCGATAGGATATAGAGAGAGCAGGAGCGAGTAGAAGTGCATAGAAAAGTTATGAAGTAATATCCGACGAGTGATCAGCAGTTTATTCGAACTTGGCGAAGTAGAAGAGATTTTTGGAAATTGGACATAAATCGACAGTCGTGGAGCAGTTATTCGAACTGTCCTCAGTTATAGGAGATTTGGGCGGAAATAATAGTCGAGAGGGTGAGGAGCTAGATTATCACAAGACGTTTAATTGGGCAACACAAGTCTGAAGTGTTGAGGTACACCGAAATTACGCCGCCAGTAATGCGTGCCTGAACTGTACATCACACGTCGGCGGGCTACTGAAGCCGAAGAAGACGAGGGCGTAAGGAGCCGGGGGTCACGCGACGGCGAAGAAGCGAGTTTGCGAGTCGCGCACAGTGCGTGCAACCGCAGGTAACACATTTTTGTAAAAAGGTTGCGAACAGCAGCGGAAAGGCTACAGTTCGAAATTTGCACAATCACGTGGATTGTCGTACGAACTAGATCACGGCAAAATAACTGAAAGAGAACCTTGTACGCCAGTTCATTCATGTGTTATATTTTACGGGAAAAAGCAGAGTAAATATTTGTTCATCATTTCTGCGTAATCTTGTCGAGGAAATTCACTCGGAATAGTTGTAGTCGGAAAAGTCATTCAATAATTTGTTGCGATTATGAAAATCTAAGATGTGTAGAAGTAAGAAATTTAGTGTGTTGTACTAACCAGTTCAAGGGATTTTTTTTATTATTTTCAAACGTTGCTGGCCAAGCAGTAGTTACCGTGCACGGACATTTTTGTAAAAGGTAGTGAATTAGGAAGGAATATTCGAGTCAAAGTGAACAAACGATGTAAAATTTCAAAGTTGTGGAGGGTAATTTGATTTTGTGTTATATCTTTGTATGTTATTTGCTATTTGGCCTTTGTTCAGTGATGTTATACGTGGTCATATTCTGGAGAGACTATACACACTGTCTTACACGATTCTGTGTTTGAGTGTAACTCTTTCTCATGCCCTCATCAATTCCCGATTAGAGCATTCGGTCTGACGCCCGACCACGACTAGTAACTAGCGTTACATATACTCCGCCATCGTTCGTCAAGAAGACGCGTGTGAATCGCGTCTACGATTGTTCTTTCATAGCAAATCGCATGTCTACTTTTAGTTTTCTATTAGTAAAGTGTGAAGACAAGCCAAATAATGAACAGTACCTCTAGTGTACATAAATACTTACATTCGTAATTTCACCAGTATTCGAGCAACTTTGCTCATGAACTCTGCAGCTTGTCTTGGACTATCTTCAATCTGAAAAAGAAACAAAAATGAAGAGTAAGCAGCCAATAATATATACAATATTAAATATTGCTTAATGTTGCTATTACTGTCATTGACATTAAACAGGAACAATCTCGCAATCTCTCTCGCAAATCTCGCTCAAGGGAATTTAAGAATTTATTGACTTTTATACATAATCCAGATGTAGGGATCTTGTAAATCTTGCCTAATATCACTCGAAAATTAGCAAACGTTGGTCTGTGCGGCAAGAAGCACCTATATGATATGACAGATACATTGATTTTTCGTTTTCAAACTAAATACACATTGTACCACCTAATCCTTTATAATTTTTTAAAATAGTTATTGTATTACAAAAGATAAAAAATATGTAGAATATGTAGAAAATGAATCAACAGGCTCTTAACTTAATAATACAGTTTATGTTTCTTTCGATTCCAATTTCACTGAAAAACAAATTGTTTTCTTTCACTTCGCGCATGGTTATGCATTATGGTTGGTATAATAGTGAGGATAATCACTATATTCTTCTTAAAAACTGAAGCAAGTTCGTTGTGTTTTTGAAAATACTAGTATTGTCACACCTACCCACTATAGATTGATGTGAAGAAGATATAATTGTAACTGAAGATAACTATTGCTGCTACAACAGCTCAAACCTTTTCACCTATTTGAAACGGCTACGGAACATTATAAAACTACATGAACCTGAAAGAGTGTTTCCAACCAGCATGTATCTCCCCGTGCCGAGATTTTAACATAGGTCCTTGGACTTAAGAAGCCAGGACCGTTACGACTACACCAACAGTCGCACGGCTAAGCTAAATTTTCGAACATTTGGAGAATTAAACTAAAATGAGACTTGCGACATTTTTTAAGCGTCTTTTGCTCTGCTAGTGAAAAAAAATTGAAGAAAAAAGTGCAGCCGATTTTGAGGAAAAAATATAAATTACATTAACTTCAAATAGAAATTACGCGAAAACTACTTGTATTCGGAACTTCAAAAAAATGAACAAGACCTAATTTAAAAAATTAATTTCATAACATTTTATTTAACATTTCATTATTTTAAAAAATCCCGATTATTAATAGCAATGTTAGTTTTTGCAATTTTCGAAAAAAAAAAGTTCAGGAGTCGAAAATGTAATCAGCATTATTTTTTTACAGTCCTGTGATATAAACGTAGCACAAATTTAAGGAAAAAATTTGAGCCGTTTCTGAGAAAATAATTGTTTAAAAATTACCTATATTTCACGCAATATTACGCATATTTTCGGAAAATTGTAGATTACCTTACTACAAGATGTCTTTGACCAACATATTTCATTTCAGAAAAAATCTCCAAAATTATAGGTCTAGGAAGACACAAAAATGATGAATATTCGAGATACACGCATAAATGATAAACATGTTGGAGATTTCAACGAAAATAGAACCTGGCTTCGAATTCGTTCAGATCGATCAAGGAATACCATTTTTTGAAAAAATCGTCTGAACGATTTACGCGTTACACACAAACATACTGACAGACAGACATTCAAAAGTTGTGCCGTTAATCGATTTTGCAGTATTAAGGACCCACAAAACGTGGTTTATGAGTAAACCAAGTGTTAGTAAAGTAATTTACAACATAAAGAAATAAGGTTTATCCAATTTTTCAAAATCAGGGCCCGACAATAGTTTTCTTTTGAAAAATCGCCCTTTTACATGGTGCCAGGCAATTTTTTACTACGTACGTAGTACGGCGAGAAAGTAAAAGGAACAAAATTATTAAATGGTACCATTATTTTCATTGATAACACTTGTATTTTAATGTATTAAACAATTTAAAATAATTAAATGATAATGCAGTCACTTTCTTTGGGTATATACGAAGAATTGAAATTTGTGTTGTATATTGTATTGTATTAAAAAATTATACCCACAAACCATAAAAAATATTCATCACCTTTTTTATTATCTCATATAATATCAGCTTCAATCTGCTCGGAATTTCAGACCACTGTGTTTTGACAAGTTGACAGCAGTAAAAGCAAAATATATGGTATATGGTGACAGAAGAAGACGGTGGATACGTATTGAAAAAGTAATTCAAAGAATTGTTAACTGAACTCGACAACTTTACTTACGGGGAATCTACGTGGCATGTTTACTTTATTAGTTGAAATCTGTTGCCATCTTAACAACTGTGTTCATTACTTGCGTTAACAACCGTATGGAGAATAAAGCGCAGCACAAGAACGGCGATGAATTGAAGCTAATAGAAATTGTGAAGGATGAAAAGACATTTAGAGTGGTGCTAAAACCAAAAACGTGTTCACGTGACAGCTTGTTTTTTTATACACACGATATTTTATGTACATCTCGAAGGTCGCAGTCTCCGAATGCGTTGGGCAAACTCAAGGATGCTTTACGTTAATCGCGTAGGTTGAAGGCCGGAGCCTCGTCGTACTATTCGACACTAAGTGAAGCATCGCTGAGCCGTACAAGTAATTTATGTAATTGACGTGTGAATTGGAAATACGACGCACTTCCACTTGTGGGTATTCGTTGTACATACTTACAAAATACACTAGTTCCGTTGGATAAATCAATCCACACTTGACTTTTAAAATTCATAAGGTGATATTTCGACCACTGGCGAGGAAAAATATCGATTCTCGGAACGTGAACTATTTCTCTGACATCTCACATTTAGAAATAGGATGTTCTAAGTATTTTTTACAACACAGAAATGCAATGATCTGAATGATCGAACATATAGTGAACTTATGGCAGGGTGTGTCATGAGTTGGTTAAAATAGTAAGACGATATGTGTTGGTTCGTTCTTGACAATTTTGTATGCATTATATAAATATTAGTAAGAATACTAATTTTTTATCAGTGATTGTCTGATGTACTTCAAAAAATTAATTCTGGATTAAGGTCAATCCGATGTATAAAACAGTAATTAAACAAATGAAGCTTTGAATGAAGCGATTTAGATTTATTTAGTCAAAAAACAGTAAAAACTATATGTGACATATGGGGGAGAAGATAATTGCGCGTGTTTTCTTGAGTTCCAGAATCCATTCCTATCATTCCAACTATAATTAGTTAAAAGATGAATAAAAGTTGAAGATAAAGAAATAAAAATAAAATTTAAAAAAGGCGCGAGAAGTGATAACTACATAATAGTGTAGGTTAATTTTACACCATTTCGGAATACCACATCGAATTCTTCATCATGTAAACTTGTATCCGTTGTACAAGATCATAATAGATATGAATATAGGTTACTAAGAAGGTTATGAATATCTGAACTTATGCAACTGATACAAGATTACTGTAGAAGGATTCAAAGTGGGAGTCCGAAATATTGTAAAAGAAGTATGAGCAGCGATGTGCATTATTGACTGTGACACATGGACAGTATTTTTGTATATTATGTTACTTGCTTAACAACGTTCCAACGCTAGCAGCTAAACCGTTTAGCCAATTTTGTCAAAATTGATATTTTCCGGTTGATCTCTGAACGAACTCTAAGCGTTGAAGAATGAACCGAATATTTTGATTTTTGACGATACTTTACAAGAAGCCTCAAAAACATCTTCAAAATGTTCACAAAATGGCTCCAATTTTTTAAATTAAACTTTGTACTCAGATAGCGTAAAGGTCGCTTAAGGGAATGCCGCTGATTTTACGAATATTGCAATAGTGCAATTTTTTGGGGCGTCTTGCTACAACTATAATATTGAAGGTAGAGATTTCTTCTTTAATGAAATCTGTTCCTTAAAGACAGACCCTGAAATAAGATCATGTGCAATTTTTCGGAAATATTAGTAGTTTTCATGTAATTTTGCGGAAAATGGTATCAGCCCCATTTTCGGTTATCTCAAGATTTTTCCAAAATTTCAAAAAGTTAACATTTCAAAACCACAAAATCGTTGACATTTTTCTTTCAAAGTTGGTGTAAAAATTCAGCCTTTTAAAAAATATCATGTATATTTATTTTAAAAAAACTAGTTTTGGCCTAATTTGCTCTTGTAATTTATGCAATTCCTAAAAAAAAGTATTTTCTCAAAAACCTTTCCCATTGCATCTTTAAATTTTTTCCTCGGGTAGAAGGGACGCGGGTCATCATTTTCGTTGTACAATCCGAATTTTCGAAAATTGAAGATTTTAATAATCGTACGAGAAAGTATGTGCTGTTGTAGCACTACCAGTTTGCATATTTAGTTGTAGACCTTGCAATACTTCACTAATGTAGTGTATTATACTTCACACGCTACTAGTCACGCGATTGTAAATCATGCTTTACGCTATGCTCTGCAAAACTTTTAATAAATGAAAGTTTTTTCAAGAGTAAGGGTTGTGTCTATATCCTGGTTAGGACATGGTTTTCAAACATTCTATTGTCACAACGTTTTTCCTGAAGGTTGGGCACGCGATCTCTATGACATTTCTTAAAAAAAATGTATTTAATTTTCTGATAGAACGTTCAAGTAATAATTCCGGCCGATAAAGTACTCGTACATAATTACTCGCATTATTCGCTAGGCTCCGCAATATTATACCACTACATGAATCTGCAAATGAATTTCCAACCAGCATTTTTCTTCTCTCCACGGGCTTTACCGCTACACCACAAAGATATTCGGCCGTACTCACATTTGCTGACATTACAAACCAATGGTCTTTCGCTTTATTTCTAACAGTCAATTCTCAAACATTATAAAAGTTCAATAAAAATTAGACCTACGCCGTATCTTAAGAGTCCTTTGCTCTATCCGTGGGAAAAATGAAGAGTAGTTTATAGGATTTTTTAAAAATAGCATTAATTTCGAGAAGAAAACACGCGAAAACTACTCGTTCTTTCAAAAGAGATTTTTATTGCCATATTTAAGAACTAATATTTTAGAACAGAGAAACATTCTTCATCTTCAATATTTAAATTGGCATTGCTAATTTTTATATTGTTGACTCTTGAATATGAAAACAAAAACATTTTAAGAATAAAGTTGGATCACTCACAACTCAGAAAATAAAGCTTTCTAACATTGCTAAGTGGCAGAGGAAATGTAATATTATACGAGTATTCTTTTTAGTAACTACTGCCATATTATATTTGTATCATGACAATTCATATTTGGGACATTCAGACATTGCTCTAGGAAAACTTTAATGGATATTTGATGAAAACGCGTGTCTCATTAAACATCGTGGGATTTAAACAGCCATAAAAACGGGTGCTCGATAAACGAAAGGTTTTTTTGTATTACATCATAGATGTTCCAAGATACTCTAAACAAGTGAAAATACACATTCGATTTTTTTCACCCATGCTTAACATGTCGTATTGATATTAATTTAAGAATTTGTTCATCTAAAATCGTTAAAGCTGGTGGACAAGTATTTTCTTTTTTCTACTAATTGAAATTACTAATAATGAATATCATACGCGGGTTTCTTGATCCAAATAGACCAAAGGACGCATTAGTAGCACAATAAGAGAGGGCCCTTTTGGAAAAGGAATTTTCCAAAAACAAAGAGTGTTTATTTACTAAACCTTTCGTTAAACTGTCCATCATTGTGTTCTCGTAAGTATTGCCCCAATTACAATACCATCCAAGCATCGGTCAGATCCTTTTGCAAAGCAATCTCACAAGTTAACCCGCAGGCTCCGAAACGGGATCTACGGCAGATTAGGTATCCGGACGTTCCGAGATGCGGCCGTGCACTGTGGAGTTCACGGAGTCGGAGGGTGTGCACGAAAACTCCCACGAGCTTTGCAGTAACTTCTCCCCAGGGTGGACCCGATTGGCGACCACAAATTGACGCCGAATTTGGACGTACGGATGCACGAGGGTGGCAATACTATGTAAAAACTACGCGAAAAAGTAAAAGGATATGATACGAAAAGATGCGTTTGTGGATATGCTAGAATAAAAAAGGACTGGCTGATGTTGATTTTTGTCGATGCTGCTAAATATCCGTAACTAGAAGATATTGACAACCTGTGTCTGTCCTGAACCATCGAATAATCTGCAAGTAGCTCTCTGCGATATCAGGCAAAGACTCGAAGTCGGCTGTAGCACATTCGCAATGGAATGTTTCTAAAAGTGTTTTAATGTATCACTCAGTAGCTAAGCATCTTTTGCTGTTGCAGATCATTATAAGCACGAAACGAATTATGACCTCGACAAACTGTCATTTGAAACTCACAACTTTTTTTTTTTTTTTTTGCAAAACACTTTCTGGAGATGCGAGAAGTTTTGAAATTTAGAGGAGACATACAAAGATGTAACAATGGAAATGGTACAATGAACGCTTTTTTAATACTTCAACAAACTACTTACATTCACAACATCTGCCGCTCGTTGATAAAGACGCAACGCCCGTTCAGGATGTTGACTTTCAAGTAACTTGGCGGCTTTGTCCAGAGCTGCAGCACCAGAATCAGGAGATCCGTGTTGCTGATACATGTTGCAAGCTCGTTCAGCAAGGACGGACACATCAGAAAGATCTCCCAAATCCTTGCAGACCAGAATCGCTTGGTCTAAGCATCTTCAACAGTACAAGCAAAATCATTTATTGAAAGTATACTACAGATACACAATTCTAGAGACATTGTATTATAATAATAATAATAATAATAATAATAATAATAGTAATGTACGTGGAATCCCATACGGGGCAAAGGCCTCTCCAAAATGGATTCATTAATTTGAAGGCCATCAATTCAGCTACATGAGAGTGGGATACTGTCGTATAACACAACGTTAATTTACTAAACATATTTCTTTCAAATACAACAAATATGGTATCGTTAATTTTTTCTTTCATACAATAAAATTGTTGCCCACATACATATGAGCAACGAAATTATAAAATTCGGTTTTCGATATAACTAGGATAAATATTGAGAAAATAAATTGTCAACTTCATAATTGTTATAATTATAATTTTGCGAGACATTTCTCTTCCAACTGAATTTTGTATGCAAGGCGACTAAATATCATAGTTAAGTGGCGTGAGTTATAGGATAAATACGTTTTCGAAGTTTCTGGCATACGTAGTACAGAGATCATATTGTAAAGCTGGGGGAAAAGTTCCACTTTTGCGACACGAACACACGGTTTTGGGGGCCACCGGTACAGAAAAAAGGAATTTTCTTGCTAATTTATATAGTAAATTACTTTCTCAAATGCGTTGTCTACTTGTGATCAACGTTTTGTGGGACCTTGATAAGGAAGAAATGTTATTCACTTTCAAGCCTTACAACTACTAACGTAATAAAAAAAAATATTGCAATGCGGCGGCGGAAATCAGCGATTTTTCGACAGACAAAATCGTACTGCCGGAACCATTGCCTAACGAAAAGTGGATGCATTTTGTTGCATGTACTACATTACTTCCTCTAACACATGGGGTTCCCACAATCAACGTTTTGGGGTTCTTCCTTCCAAAAAAAATAGACTGACGCCAAAACGTGTGTTTTTTACGAGGGTTGGTGGAAATCTTCAAAAGGGACAGGGTAGCCCGTACTTCCCAGCGTGTTAGATCTTCACTTAAAACCAAAACTCCCTTCTCCTTCATCCTCCCTGTGAAACCGCCTACAGGCACAGTGTGTATCTATGTCAATGTGTGCGCGTCTGTGTGTTCGGGGAGTGTCTTTGTCCGCCCGTTTATCCACTTAACCATAACCTCCCTTTCAATTCTCCCTGCGGAACCGAGTAGAGAAATTACATCGCGGAGAGTGGAATAGTGACTCGTCTTTGTGAAGTATCAATTATATCCTGGTAATAGTCGAGTTGGATCACACTGAGGGTTTCGTTCTCCACGCGTCTTTTGCAACAGTAATGCTTGTGCAAAATCTAATGCCGACCTCCAACTACTATCACAAACAAGCATAAACGCAATTATATTTTATAGTCTTATTTATCTCAAGCATCTCAATAATGATCTACAGTTCGACCTGACACTTGCACGTCTGTCAACACGTGTTCGACGTCATAGACAGTATACTTCGATTTTGCTATAGTGGCTGATGACATTAGGTCAATGTCACACAACCTGCTTTATACAACGAATCTTTTTAACAGTGGTAAGCACATTTCTGAGGCCACGAGTAGGACGTTCACGCATTAATTAAAATGATTCATTTTATAAGGCAGATGTAACTATGACCTAGTGTCATCAGCCACTATAAAAATATCAAAGTATAGGTTAGGATGGTACGGAGTATCATCCAATTTGTACATGTGAAGGTCGACTCTGAAGCATCTATGGCCCGTTAGGAGCTGCGTGAGGCAATTTAGCCCATGCTGCGTTCGACTACACTATACAACCGTCGCAATCGGTAGGTAGGTCCACCTTGCCTTGGATAAAGCGTTCCGTGTCCGCTGTCCTTCTGCTAGTGGTTCCAAGCAATTCTGCATCTTCTGCCATAACGCCGTTCACGAGCCATTGTATCAATAGTCGTCATCTCAGGTAGGGAATATACTTGTCTTTAGAGGTGGCCGTAGCTGGTGATATATGGAGCAGAACCGATGCCGCCGCAAGCAGCTTTCTTTTTTCATGACTAGGTACTCCAATCGTCGGCATTCCCCTACTCGATGCAACATTCACCGCCAGTTTTCTTGCTGGCATAGTACAATTGGTCTCCAACGGATAACTGCGTGTCCGTTTGCCAGTGCGTCTCTATCGTTTTTGTTTTGTTTGTACTTTCCTCCGCCTGAAGCCCTGACGGGGCGGTCGTATGTACGGGTTAAATGTGCCGCAGCTCTTCGGCTTTTGCGGCCAAGAAGGGGGCAGTGCTTAACTAACTTAACCCTATGGAAGTAGCCGGCGCTTTCGCCTGCAACCTAGGGTTCGCATGCATGCTTTCATTTTCTAGTACAAGTCTTTTTTTCTGCAACCATCTTGTTTTGTTTTTTCATTTATTGACGTAATTCATACTTCTGTCCATTTACACTTATTTACACATCTAATCACACGACACTATTTATACTTCGCTTTGCTCCACAACGTCGTCTTTGCTCAAAGCGTCCATGGCGGCTTGGCATTATGTTCCCTAGCGGGTCCATAGGCAGCGCTTCGGCTCCAGCCGCCGGTGCCTCACTCATCCCGCAGGCGGCCTCTCGCCGCTGCTCGCAGAGCTCTGCAAGAAGCTGTGTCGGCAGCGCCCGGAACGCGAAGGACACGTGTTTGGGCCCTCCTGAGGCAAAATAGTCCTGTGGACCTCGCAGTTCACCGCCCGGCCGGTTTCGCGGAGCTTGCGGGCCCAGCGCCCGCGCGAGCGCCGTGCGTGCCCTACGGCAACTGACGGCTTAGGCCCAGGGCCCCATAGGTTACATTGTTCCTCTGATGGCGGTTGGGGGGCGGCCGCGTTGCGGCGTGGTGCATACCGCTCACTTCTCCGACACCCAAATCGGGCCTAAGGTCGAGGCCAGCGCTGCCGCGAAGGTCTTGCAAGCATCCGTCAATAAGCTGCGTGTGCAGGTGGTGAAGAGGAGACGTTTCTGTGGGAGAAGCGGGGAGCTGAGGAAGGAACGGAAGAGGGAGATCCCTGCCGTGCTGTGCCAACAGAGGCCTCGATCTAGTCACGAGGTACTTTGCGCTTGGGGACCAGGCGAGGTGCTTGCCCAACAGCAACACCGTTTGCTTGGGGTCTGCCCTCTGACGGGTGAAGTTGATAGCAGCGCTTATCCCTGATTCGATGAGACATAAGAGTTCCCCCTCAGGCCACACCGTGTCGAAGGCTGATCGCATGTTCAGAAACACGGTAGGCAGAGTTCACCGTCTCTCTCTCCCTCTCTCTCCCCGAGAGGTCGATCTCGGAGCACATGCGCGTCAGCTGTGCTGCGCGGAGCTGTGATCCGCTCTGAATCCCAATTGTTCGTCTCGGAGACGTAGTCGCCGAACTTCCTGCTGCAAGCACATGAGCGTGAGGCATTCTTGGGTCTTTCCTACGAGCGAGAGTAGACTAAAGGGTCTAGAACTACTCGTCAGGAAGAGGCTTTTACCTTTCTTGGGTATTAAGTCAATGGTCGCAGTTATTCACGCTCGCGGGAAATATCTAGGCAGGCATTCAAGAGCGCCAATTGAAATTCCGCCCCTTTGTCGCCAACGGCTTTCAGTTGGGCGACAGTGATGCTATCAGGGCCGCAGTTTTTGGGTTGAGGCGGCGGAGCACTCCGCGAAGCTCTCCGTCCGTCACTCGCTGGGCTGAGGAGTTCGGTATGAGTGTCAGGTGGCACCGTAGGCGCTCCGCAGACAAGTGGGCATCACCAGCGCCATCGTCATTGGTCGGAGTTGCCGCTCGGTCGAGTCAGCAAAGACTTCGCTTTTAGGGGCGGCGTCCCATGCATATTACGGAGGACGTTGGCCAGGGAGCCTTGGGTCGTCCGCGTTGGTCTGTACGGGGTGGTTTTCTCCTGGGTGCCGTCCCAGCGCTTTGGAAAAGCCCCGTATGTGTCTATCGTGGAGATTGCACTTTTCTATTGTATTTTTACACCGAGCGTTTCTCTCGCCTCTCTGAGACGCACGGAATTCTCGGCTCAGCGCTCTCGCCCGATCACCGTCTGTGGGATCACCCAATCGGCGATGAAGCTTTACTGCTCTGCGGAGCGCTTGCAGTTGCAATATTTTCTCATATGTGAGCTTGGGACGAGAATCCAGCTCGCGCGTCACTTTCGCGACCTTTTTGTTGTTGACTTGAGCTTGGTAACCGACCCAGTCCGTGTTGCGCCTTGTTCGCATTTTTTGCTGGCGTGCTGTGATAAGAGACGGCACCACACATGTTAAAGGATTATGATCGCAATTCAGTTCGAGAAGTGAACATGAACGATACATCTCCAACTCCCTTTGCAATTGCAAATTTGATAATACACGGTCGTTTGCACGTTTGGAGCTGGTCTTTCGGGAAATATGTGGGACGTTTCGGTGCGCATACATACACGCCCCGTCTCGCTGCTAGAGTGGCTAGGTTGGAACCTAACCATCTCCATCACCGGCGTCTTGCATTGAAATCACCAAGTAGCAGAACCTTGGAGTCGAGTGCGAGAATAGCTTCGATTTCTGAGACGTTAAGAGTTTGATCTGGGCAGAGGACAGACATGACAAGGATGTGCGCTCAAACCGCTGCGAGGGACGTCAGCATTGGGGTCGGGAGGTATGCTTTGAGATGAGGGATGTCGCGGCGAATGTCCAATGCGACACCGCCTCCCAACCTGCGGTTACTCCGGTATGTTGCGAATACGTCAGTTCGGAAGTTTATAGGCGTTGAACCATGTCTCTTGTATCGCCATGATACAGTGGCCGATTGCCAGTGCGTCTGTGTATCGGTCTGCTCCTCTGCGTCTGACTGTGCTTCAGACTGTCGGCGACTGTGGGTATAAATATTTCGTACTGACAGGACTGCGGCTGCGAGTACGTTTCAGAGGGGAAGTGGGGATGTAAGAGCCGTCAACAAAAATATTGTAGTATGCATTTAGAAACCGATAATTTTTTTGGGGGGGGGGAGAAATTATTTGTTTTTATTTAAGTCAAACTTCAATATCTTA